GGTGGGACAGCCCTGACAAGGGATGTGGACAGAGTGCTCACGGAGTGGCGAGGATCAGTGAGGAGAAACTGCATTTGGATTTGAATTGAGAGGAGCACAGACAAGTGAAAAAAATATAGCATCACCAGGCGAGCGGGCTGAGGGCTAGAGCAGGGGCGGGCGCAGGGCAGCGGTGGCCGGGGGAGGGAGGGCCGCTGAGGCTGGGGTGGAAGGAGAGGGGGCCAAGATGGTCTCTGGGACCAGGACCCTCACCCCAGCAGGACTCCTGTCCAGTCCAGCTATATTTGTGCCCTGCTCAGAGCTCCCATTAGAAATAGCAAAATGAAGCTGATTTCTACCCCACCACTAGGAGGGGTTTACCTTCCCTGTTCTCTCGCCATAGACATAGAACTAGAAGAAAAGGGCTGGTGGTGTAGCTTTCAGAGTGAGTCAGGCCTGAATTCAAAACCCTCACATACCATAGCTATGGGACCTCACCAGCGAACATCAGCTTCTGCACCTACAAAACGGGAATAATGAAGCCGACCCACACAGTTACTATACAATGAGATTGTATTTGGGATGTGATCTACCCAATACTTCTGGCACATACTGCCAAATATTAGTCCTTACCCCTCAGTATTCTAGAAGATGGAGTTCTCAGCAGGAAGGTTGCCTAAGACTGGCTTTTCAGGAAGAGCTTGCATGTAGCTGGAGTGAGACCAGCAGAGATACAACTGAACCCGCCCTGGATTCTTCTTGGCGCTGGGAATGCCACAGGAGGCAGAGGAGTACCCAGGTGTCGATGTGAAAGGGGGTTTCCTTCCATATGGAGAATTCTGATTCTGTGGCTTGGGTTCACGTGTCCAGGGCCCACTCTGGATGGCCAGCATGTCATGCCTCATGCTTCAGTTCTCACCATCAGGGCTTCATCCCTTTAGCCAAAGGCTTCCCACCCCACCTATCCTGGATATGACGCCAGTGCCATTGGGGTTAGAATAACCCACGGCTGCTGCTCACACAGAGCTCCATGACGGGGCTGCTGTAGGCACTGGGAGCTGGGGGGAAGGCCCACCAGGCCACCGGGGATGCGGGCACTCAACCTGGAGGATCCTGGACCCTGGCACCAGGGCTGGGGGCAGGGGGAGGGTGCCACAAAGTCCTGCATGCTTTCAGTTGAGTAAGAACAGCCATGACCCTGACCTCCTATCCTTTGACTCGGGGGCCATGTCCACCTGATCTTGTGCACCAGCTTCTCCATTCTCCTCCATTCCCCATGTGGGCCCCAAGAGGGATTGTGTAAGATGCCAGTCTCACCAGTCCTTCCACTCTCCCTCCAGACTCCAGTCCCAGCCCAGTAGTACAAGCTGCTCGCTGAAGTAGGTGCACCAGCTCACACCCCTCTCCCACGTCCCCTCTCTTCACTCCGCCCAGAGTACCTGTCCATCCCTGATCCCTGCCCACCCCGCCTCATTCCAACCAGTCTACTAAAAACATTCTCTGTTCTTCAAGCACTGACTTTGCTCCATCTCTGAGGACATGAACTTGAATGAGATACCCAGGTCCCTGAGGGTCTCATGTCTGAGAGACAGGCCCCAAATCACCAGATACATTGAGGAAGGCAGAGGGGGTCAGGTTGAGGTTGTGGATGTTCCCCCAAGCTAGGGGGTCAGCGAGTCTTCTGAAGCAGGGTGTGGAGGGCACAGAACAGACCCCAGGCTAGGGCAGCAGGGCTCTTCCAGGAACCACACCTTGTACAGCATGGCAGGAGGTGCCAGGATTCCGAAGCAGCCTCTGAGGGCCCTGGGCAAGGAAGCCTCCACGTGAGCAAGCTGCCCAGGAGGAGGGTGCTGTGCGGCGGCCTGGTCGCTGTGACGGCTCTGGAGTGTCTGCCAGTGAGGGGCTTGAAGTCAGAGAGGCCACAGGCCATGGGCTACGTGCAGGGCTGCGGGCAGCTGAGCAGCCGGAGGCTGGGGAGGGACAGGGCAAACACAATCATCGTGAGGAGAGGGAGACAGGAGAGGCGAGCTGTCCAAAGGGGCTGACCCTCTAGACAGCGACCTCAGAAGACAAGGCCATGAAGATGGTGGGATTAGCTGACCCCAGCAGAACTCCGGCTTCCAGAATCTTCAGCACGCAGGGAGTGTGACCCTGTGAGCCACTTCCTCCATCGACGGACTTAAGCAGCCTGTTCAGTGGCTAAGGGCTCTTGCTTTCCCTCTAACAAAGCCTCAGGCAGCTAGCTCCCTGAGATTCCTGGTTACCGTTAAGCCATGGCCATCCCGCTGTTACTTCAATGCTGAAACACAGCCCCATTCAGATATTACTCAGAAATCACGGCACCCAGCGCCGTATATTCAGCCTCTGTGCTCACTGAACATTAAGGGTTCTCCCTGCAGAGTGCGTCCTCAGCCAGAGCGGGCTACAGTCCTGCCTGCCTTGGGGACAGGGGCCTTGTCAGCCTGTTTGGTTTGTCACTCACCCTATCCCGGGCCATTCCTGGGACCTGGAGTGCTGGAGTCGCCGGAGAGCAGCAAAGTGCCACCTTGGCTGACAAGTTTCAGGCTGACTCATTCCTGTGGGTGCTCTGCGGGGCACCCAGGAGTCCCTCAGATGGGGGATCCTTCCCAGTGCCCCCAGTCTGTTCTTCCATAGTCTCCACAAAGCCAGGGGTTCACTTCCCGATACTGCCAGCTGAGGACCCAAGCTCCCTCCCCGGGGTGGCCCACTAGACAGGACCTAACAGATGCCCACACTGTCTTGTTCACGTATGTGGCCCACATCTAGTCCATACGCGCCCAAACACACACACACACACACACACACACCCCAGAAAAACATCCACACATTCCCTGCCCAAACCTCAGGGTGCAGGCCGACCACAAATCCACAACCCTGGTCCAGCCCTGCAGTGGAAGCCACGTGTCAGCCATGGACACCTGCCCCCTGCATACTCCAGGCTCAGGCTGACCCCATCCACAGTGACCCCAGCCAGGGGTGGCGCTTCCCAGGCTCTTCAACTTTCCTTCCCAAAGTCCCTCCACCTGAAACTATCTTGGGGAACCAGCCCCCCAACACTCTTTCCCTTTCATATTGGGAAAACACAGTAAAGGATTTTTACAGAGAAATGGTCACAAAATCCTTTTATATCCCCGCATAGAAACTTCAGAGCTGTCAATCCAGCTCTTAGCATTTCCTTTGCAGATCTGCCCCTCAGTTTGCAATTTTTATATGCATTGTATCTCCGTGTCTCAGTAGAAACTTCCATTTTCTTAGCCTGTTATACTTCCATTATACTTTTCTGATGGCCTGGTTCTAACTGCCCCCTTCCCTGATAACCTCACCCAACCTTCCCAGCTGGGCGTTGTTGTTCCTTCCACGGAGCCCTTGGCTGAGAGGAGAGAGTTGGATGACCGTGGACCTGCTCTGTGCCGCACACACCTGTCCCCTGGGGCCACCTGCCTTCCCCGGGGATCGGGGATCGCATGGGCTCTGGCGTTCAGGGCCTCCCGGAACCAGGTGCACCACAGGTGTTCACTTACCGTAAGAATGATGACATGACCTACAGTCTCAGGATTCTTTGAGAGGATTTCCTGGATAAATGAGGCCTTGACCTTGAATACCAACACCTGCCAAAAATGTTAAACCATTTTAAATGAAACTCTTCCCACCTCATTTCATAGTCCATGCCCATGTGCCTGTGAATCCTTAGCTGGTATTTGTGAATGCCCATGGCTGGGGGTAGATGGAGCCTGATTTAGAGGCCTGTTCACCCCAATTTGTCCTGTCTTGGGTATAGTCCTTTCTGCTTTACTTGGATTTAATGGCATCTCAGGCACTGTCTGGCCATCTGTATCCGTCCTCCAGCTGGCCTGGCACAGCCCTGCCCACCTCTGGCAGCCTCCTTCTGGCTGCTAAGTTGTTTCTAATTCCTTGTGAGCTAGAGCACCAATAAGAAAGCTCTGGGCAAAGTAAAAAAGATAGGCCCTGAGTGGTTAAATAGGGGCTCGCTGATTCATCGAAGGCTCTAGCTTTGTGTGTAGGCTTAGCAGTACCTATCCAGGTGGTCTCAAAGCCTATTTGGCTCCCTTCCTGTACTCTCTGGGCTCAGGATTGCTAACTCACCTGGTTGGCTAACAGATGGGAGTCACATGCATTTGAGAAGTGGCTGTTGTGGGCCCAAGCCTGCAGGTAAAATGTGCAGGGGTTGGGGCTCAGTCTCGGGCATCTGTGAGGAGGGGCTGGGGGACAGGGCGTGTGGGCCTTTCCAGTGGGGAGGGTAGGACTAGGAGGGTGTGTACTCACTGGCCCTGTGAGGAGCAGGCCATGCTGACACCAGGCTCAGAGGCCCTCTGCCACTCAGAGAGGTATGCAGCTGGGAATGGAAGGCCGGTTGCCTGGGTCCCCAGGGCAGAGGGCCCTCCCTGGGATCACTCATTTGTCATAGCACAGGGCAAGAGTATGGACCCAGAAGATGTGAACTTTGGCCCTGCTCTGTAGCTTGGAGTAAATATCTCTCTCCCAGACCCCAGTTTCCTACTCTGTACACAAAGGGAAAGTGACCCCTGGGTGGGTTGGTGGTATGAGCACACGATGTGGTAGATGCTCGAGGAACCACAGATTCTTTCCCTTCTCCTCCCTGGGTCCCTCCCACCGTGAGTAAGGAAAATTGAGCTGCACTGACTATTAAGAAACCTGACTCCACGCCCAGCTCCACCTTTGCTTCCCTGTGCACCTTTCCCTCCCTGGGCCTCAGCTTTCTCTCCACACAAGTAGGAACTGATCACCTTGACTTCTGAAGTCCCCCCAGCTCCAGAATTCCTACTCCCTTCCTCCTCTTACTCCTCTTCTTGGGGGTGGAAATGCATGTGTACCTGTGTGTGTACCTGCATGTGTGCATGGTCCAGTGGGGGCAGGGAAAGGGGGAGCGGCCCGTGGAGGATGGCAGTGACAGTTAGGGGAAGAGGGAGGCCGGACTTACTTGTCAGTGGGGCTCAGAGCCTTCTCAGCAGCTAATGGCACTTGGGCTGTTTAATCATTAAAGGAAAGAAATCAAGCCAGGAGCACCTCAAAGTCCAGCCTGGTGGTGACAGACTGTAACAGAAGAGCATGGAGCTGGCAGCAATGAGGCCTGGAACTTCCGGAAATGGGGTCAAGACCGTGACAGCTCCACGCTCAGCGTCGGGCGTGGGAGTCAGCCTGCATGCCTACGACATTGGAGTCTTGGTTGTTTACTTTGTCTTCGTCATCGGTGTGGGGGTCTGGGTGAGTAGGCCCAAAGGTCAGACCAGCTCTCCTCTGGCTGGCTGTGGAGCCAGGGGCAGGGGCGAACAGAAGGAAAATAAATGGGGAGGCACAGAGGCTGAGATGCAAGGGTCTTCAGTAGTCATCTTCTCCAGCCCTTCTTTTCTATAAAAGACTGAGGCCCAGAGAGAGGTACAACTTGCCTGAGGTCACATAGAGAGCCAGAGGCAGGCCAGGCCAGAACCCCCATATCCCAGCTCCCTAGCCCTATGCACCTGCTGCCTTTGGCCCTGCCCATCCCTGGCCACCCACACCCCATTCCTGCCCTCTTCCCCATGCCGCCATCTCTAACTCCGTGAATACTCGACTCTTGGCCTACCCCACCCTCCACTAGCTGGTGTATCAGCAGGACCTGTGCTTCTGGCAGAGCTGGGGCTTGTGTGCTCATGGCCTGGGGCTAGGTCACCCCAAGGCTCTCCGGTGTTCACTGGAGCCTTGGTGGTGAGGACAGGGGTCAAGCTCTGAGGCCAGGCAGCTGTGGGTTCAGAGCCCAACTCCAGCAGTGAGGGCTGCGTGGGCCAGGGAATGTACACAGCCTCTGTGAGCCTCGTTTTCTCATCCAGACAGTGAGAATAATAAGGACTACACTGCAGAGTGGTCATGACCGTTCCGCAACATGACACATCTAAGCCTCTGGCATAGCGCCCGGCACAGACCTGGCAGCAGTAAATGGCTGCTAGTATCACCGCAGAATCCACGAGAAATGCCAGCACCTTTAGACTCTGCTGTGAGGCAGATGGGTATTCGAGTCCCAGCTGGTCACTTACTAGGCTGTGGCAAGG